AAAGACAGTTTTTTTGTATCTAATGTTGTTCTTTCAGGGGAAAAAAACACAGGCATCCCTTTGAGAGTCTTACTACACTTACTGCTAGTGTAGCTTATGCCTCCTTTCATCCAACACACACATTTTTCCAGTACTTGGTTTAAAAAATTGTAATTGACAGGGGTATAGGAAGGTTGTCCAGAGTAGAAGTTCATACCGGAGGGTTTATGGAGGAGGCAGGTGTGCGTCACAGTGAAAGCATGGGGTCAGGTACTGAATTTTGAGGAATTTCTGAGGCCTACATAGGCTGTTGACAGCTAGCTGTTTGTGTAGAATAGAAGACTGGAGGAATGTCATTTCTTTAGGTTTCAGTGCAATAAGATCATCCAGCTTTAGCTGCCACTCCAGCACTCTACAGCTCTTTACTTTCTTTCAGCTAATTGTCTTTGTTCTAAAGCCAGCTGGAGGATAGTCTTTACCAATTCATCTTCATGCAGTAAGGCTGCATTTCTATAGCAAGCCAAGATGATTTAAGGAATTCTTAGCTTTCTTGGAAGAATTTATGAAGTCAGTCAAGATGTTTCAGGAGCAAAGTTGGCTTTAATAGCCAGTTCAACGACATTCAGGGGTGCTTTAGCCCAGCACTGCCAGCTGAGTGATAGAAGGGATTGCCCCACTCTACTCTGCGCTGTACATCCTCACCTCAAGCACTGCTTGCAATTTTGGGCACCTTAATATAAGAACATAGAATATAAAGCTATCAGAGAGCATCTGAAGTATGACTGTGAAGGTGGTGAAAGATCTGAGGGCAAAATGTATGAGGAGCATCTGAAGTCCCTTTATTTGTTCAGCCTGTAGAAGACCAAATTGAGGGGAGGCTTTATGATGGCCTACAATTGGTTCTTCTTGTTGCTGGTCCTTATGTCTCCCACCAGATTCAGACATGCTTCTGCTTTTCCAACTCAAGTGGGTTGCAGCAGGCAAGTGGTAGGCTTGTGCATGAGAGTTGCATACACACAATCATCTGCCTTCTGCTAGCGTTTACACCATAAACTGCTTTCACCTAGGACAGATGCTGTCATACATGTTTCTTGAATGGGTGTTCAAGAAACATTTAGATGTTGTACTGAAAGACATGAGTTATTGGGAAATATTGGTAACAGGTGCGTGGTTGGACTGGATGACCTTGAAAGTCTTTTCCAACCTTGGTGATTCTATGATTCTATGCTTATAACAAGAGTTTCCTCAGATACCACAAATTCTGTCTCCCCTCCAAATGCAAAAGACTACATGAAGACCCATGTTTCCCTCCTACCACTCCATATACCCTGGCCTTTCTTCCCCTTCATGTGTAATTAATTCTACAGTCCATTAGCAAGCTTGCATGAGCAATCCTTTAACAACACCAATTACTGTGTTGCTAAGGCAGAAACATGGCAAATTGTCCCTAGGCAGTTTGCTGTCACCTTCCCTGCCCCATGCGAGGTCGACACTTAATGCCATGGCTATGCTGAGGGCTGAGTGAAGGATGCTACCTGTCCTGGTGCTGTCATCTGAGAGAGAGAGAAGAAGGTGGTACAAAAATGTACCAAGCTGCAGATGAGCTGCTTCAGCTGGGAGCAGCAAAGCATGTTCTCCATCAGGATGGGTAAATCACTGCTGATCAGTTTTCAAGTTTCTTCACTGAACAGAGCAAGAGAGCATGCTGCCATCAGGCGTCACCAATGCTCCCTGTTAAGGGACACCAGGCTTCGGTTGCTCTGACTAAACCTTGGAGGCCTTGTAGCCAAATTTGAAAAGAAGCATGTGAAAATACAGTACCAATGATAGATATGAGAGAACGTTGTCCTGAGAGAGAGCATGAGGGAAGAAGCATATGGAAGAGAATGGCCCTGGGAGGTCTGGCTCTTTGGATTGAGTATTAACACATCTCTCAGGAGTAGGGAGTGTAGTGCTACCTCCCTTAAAGCATTTGAAATATACATAAACTGTATGCCTTCTGCATTATACTGAGGCTGAATAAAAGGTATTATCACCACCTTCTCTGCTGCGGGGAAAGGCTCTGAACACAAGCACAACTTTCAGAGAGACCGGTGCAGCCCATGCCAGAGAGGACTGCTATGTAGATCTGAGCTAACCATAAAAGAGTGAGGGTGGTGCATTTTGAGAACAAGTGGCAAAATTCTTAGGGAGAAGAGACTGAAGTGGAAAACAGTCCTGCACCTTTTAGGTCTGAAGTGTATGTATTTTAACTCACTTCTTAGCTTACAAGTGTGGTGAAGGACAGACATCTCTTGCAGATGGGATGCAGAGGAATCTGGCTAATGCAGAGAGATCTGACAAGGGTTGAGAGGAAGGACAGGTCAAAGAAAAAAATTATTTGGGGTTTCCATAAAGTACAGAACTAGGCAGTGGATGTTTTTAGCATCAGAGCCTTATCTCTTGTGTCTCTGAGGTCTCAAGAAATCCTGTTTTAGGAACTCGTGATCTCTTTTTAGGTCATGTCTCTCACAGATGCAAATCCTGAATGGTCTTCAGTGGTGTCTGTAACCTAGCTGAAAAGTTCCCAGCAATGAAGACCTGTGTTTCTGAACAACTTAAGTCTAGGCGACTCCATTTGTCTCCAGCAGACTAAATTAACTCACCAGGCAACAGAGTATGAAATCGGACATGACCGATCGATTCTTTGGCATTGATTCAGAGAGAAACTAATGGAATGTAAAGAAAATGCAGGAATGTGTATGACTCTAAAAGGTGCTCATTTACTCATTTTACAAAAGAAAATGTAATTTAGGATATGGGTGGAGACACAGTGTTCAAAGAACTCAACGTAATGATGCATAGGGACTTTACAAACTATTGCCAAATAAATTGAGCCTCAAGGGAATAGCTTTGATAGATGCCACTGACTAAAATAATTGCATGATAATTTTGGCTAGAGGCACCGTCCTATAATCTGATGGTTTAAAATTGCACGCAGATTTTAGACTGTGTGATCCAAGCATCCAGGCACAAAGAACGGAGAAGTCTGCTCCAAGTGGCACATCTACTTTTTGGCATTAAAAAAAAAAGCACTGTGAAGGAAGTTTTCCAAGCTACAACCTTCAGCAGCTCTACAAGCTCCTACAGTGTTCTAAGAACGAATAATCAAATCATCTTAAGGTAAGCAAGCAGAAAAAGAATGTGCCCAGGGAGGTGCAGAACAGGCAGATATCTGTCAGACTGATAGCAATTCAAACCAAAAACAGGAGTACTTGCATCTTAACATTTAATCTTTTTGGTAAAGAAGTATATTTCAGTAAGGCTAGGCATTTATGAAGCCTGTTATTTTTTGTAGTTTAATTATATGATATTGTTCACTTCCAGTGGATCAACTGGGCCAGTTTGTGGGTATTAGCACATTGGCGATTTTCAGGATGCTAAATGCCTCTTTAGAAATGTAATGGCTGCAGGACAAAAAATTATTTCAGACAGTGACATATTTCATTTTGACCATCAATTCCAGTTCTATTTTAATTTATAGTTGATAAAATTAAGGAAGGTTTAACTCTGCAAGTCACCTCCAAAGAGATCCTGGCACAAATTTAGTATAGAAGTGATTTGAATATTGGAAAGTGATGAAATGAACTTTAATAGAAAATGAAAAAGAAGTAAAAGAAAAAGAAAGAAAGAAAGAAAGAAAGAAAGAAAGAAAGAAAGAAAGAAAGAAAGAAAGAAAGAAAGAAACTTCCTCCATCATCAACTGTGGATTTCCATCTGATTCTGATTATGTGATTATTGTTAATGTTTAAACTGATCACATATAAATATTCAGACAGCCACAACGGTAGTCAGAGAATGCATCCAACTTAAAGAAACTTCAAAATGGCACTTTACAAAAGACCGTAGTTTTCTGGAATTTGGAAGCCATAAAATAACGGCAAACAAAATTTAAATGAGAATCCTGAGTTAGAGACAACCCCTATTGCTTTCAGTATTTTATTATTGTGTTAGCAAAAGCATTCCAGGAACACAACAGACTGTGGAATGCATTCACAAATACACAATTTGTAAATTTGAATTTCCTACATGACCTCAACATATTCCAGAGAAGTGGCTTGGGTATCAAGCATCTTGCAGCTGAACACAGAACAGCTCAGTGATGAATCAAAGAGCTTTTGGGAAAGAGGTGGTTAAAAATATCATCTTGCACTTACAGCTAAAGATCTTCACAGCACTCTTATGTATTTCCTGCTTAATTTATTTCATATGTTTAAACTTATAATCTAGACAGAGTTTTAGTGATTCATTGAGGCTTTAAATGCACAAAATTCAAGATACAACTCCTAGATGCATTCTAAATTTATGAATAAAATTCTAGACTGAGACTATAAATGTACCATTATGTGTAAATTAGCTGTGTATTTGCAGTTTTGTATTTCAAGGCAAACAAATGTGGACTGTTGCACTAGTAGACAGGAAAATACTGAATGGATGACATTAATAATGCTACCACCTTGTGGTACAAAATGAAAAAAATTCTGTCACATAGGATGCTTCTCAAAACTTCCTCAAATAAATGAAGTCTTAATAAGTTGTTTCAATTGTTTTTCACCCAAAGCCATAGCAAAGCCACAGACAGGAATGCAGTAGGTGTAGAATTAATTTATTGTTGGCAGTGGATTTGCAAAATGGGGGAAAAAAAAAAAAAAAGTGTCTTCTTTCATGGTGGGTGGAAAATATAGTAAATATAGTAGAAGTGTAGGCAGTTAAGAAGTACTGTGGATTATAGCCAAACTCAATCTCTCTTAAAATGATCTCATTTTGCATCTTTACTAGTAGCTGTAGTGTCTACATTCATTTAATGACCTATTAAATAGAAAATAATTATGAATTTATGAAATATCTCTTTCCATCCAAAGAATATATATGTAATATCATTATTAAAATATGTATGTACTAGAAAGGGTCAGTTTGAAAAGAAATTCAGTGGTGTGTTCAAATAACAATATTTTTTATACTTTAGATATGAACTTCTGACCATGGGCGACTGGAACTTGTTGGGCAGCATCCTTGAAGAAGTGCACATCCACTCCACTATAGTTGGCAAAATCTGGCTCACAATCCTGTTCATATTCCGGATGCTAGTGCTGGGAGTGGCTGCTGAAGATGTCTGGGATGATGAGCAGTCAGAGTTCATCTGCAACACAGAGCAACCTGGCTGCAGCAACATATGCTATGACAAAGCCTTCCCTATCTCTTTGATCAGATACTGGGTATTGCAGATCATATTTGTATCTTCTCCATCTCTTGTTTACATGGCTCATGCACTGTACAGATTAAGGGCTCTAGAGAAAGAGCGACAGAAGAGGAAAGCCCACCTGCGGGCTCAGCTAGAAGATCTGGAGCCTGTGCTTGAAGAACACCGGAGAGTGGAGAGGGAGCTGCGAAAGTTGGAAGAACAGAAGAAAGTGAATAAGGCACCCTTAAGAGGGTCTCTGCTGCGCACCTATGTCCTACATATCCTGACCCGCTCAGTGGTTGAAGTGGGCTTTATGATAGGTCAGTACCTTCTGTATGGATTTCACATGTCACCCCTTTACAAATGTACTCGGCCCCCTTGTCCTAACACAGTGGATTGCTTTGTGTCCCGACCCACAGAGAAGACCATCTTTATGGTCTTCATGCACAGCATTGCTGCGGTCTCCCTATTCCTCAACATCCTAGAAATCGCCCACCTGGGCCTCAAGAAGATCCACAAGACCCTCTATGGGCGACCGCAGCAGCCAGTGGGCCCTGCAGATGACGAGGCCAGTCCTTACAATTCCAAGAAGAACTCTGTCGTCCCACCAGCGTGCCCGGCCGCCGACACCTCCCCTCCACGCTCCGCCGCGGCTCCACCGCCCCCCACCGCCTCCTCGGCCACCCCCGCCCCGCCCGCCCCTCCTGGGCAGCCGGGCCACCAGCACCACGGAGAGCTCCACGCCGCCGCCCCGCCGCGCCGCCGGCACAGCGCGGCTCAGCACCACGGACAGCAGCCGCCGCCCTCCTCCAGCAGCGAGGAGGCGCCGCGGGCTGCGGGGCCGGGGACGCCGGGGCCCGGAACGGGGGCGGGCCGCCGAGCGCTCCGCAAACAGAGCCGCGTGAGCGTCTGTCGCGACCTGGAGGAGAACCGCGGGGAATCCCCTGACAGCGGACACTGCCCGGGCACCCGCAAGTCCAGCTTCCTCTCCCGGGTGCTCTCCGAGAGCCGGGCGGGCAGCGACAGCGAGAGCGCCGCCTCCCGCCGAGGCTCCGGTCCCGGCTCCGCCTCCGGTTCCGGCTCCGAGGAGCAGCGCCACGAGGAAAGCAGCCCGGCCGGCAGCCCGCCGCCGCCCGCGGCCATGGGACGCCGCGTGTCGATGGCAAGTAGCGGCCCCGGGGGAGCGGGCGGGGGGCCCAGACCTGATCC